ATGCTTTGACTTTAACATAGCTATTTCTGTGACCAGTTACAAGCTAATCACTCAGCTATTTCAATGCTAAATTCTATGCTAATTCCTTTGTCAAGGGGTGCCTCTGCGGATGTGTATGCTTTAACTTAGCTATTTCAATGCTCAATTCTATGCTAATTCCTTTGTCAAGGGGTGCCTCTGCGGATGTGTATGCTTTAACTTTAACATTGCCATTTCTGTGACCAGGCACAAGCTAATCTCTCAGCCATTTCAATGCTAAATTCTATGTTAATTCCTTTGTCAAGGCGCTTTGTTTCTTCTCACACAGCTTAAAGGTCGTGATCTAAGCGTGGCTTCATCCACTCCAGCGCTGTCCTCCAGACAGTCTCGTCCCTTCACCTGATGAAGGCCGCTTGTGTTGTGGCCGAAACGTCGTGAGAATATTATTGTGTTATTTTATTTTATCAATTTATTATTTTATTCTCATTCTACGTGACTTTACCGAAAGAACCAAAGAAGATGAATCCTTGCAGTCACGAAAGCTTTAAATCTAAATTTATCATGCTTAAGTTTTAATTTGTCTTCACCCGGCTCGCTACTTTGTGACTTTGTTTTCCTTTAAATATTCACGCGGTTTTTTTTATATTTTACCAGGCCAAGCCCGCTTGAGCTGCTATACCGCTCTTGTTTTCAGAAGCGACCTGCCCACAACAAGGTGAGGCTTTTGATTTAAAGCTTTCGTGTCTGCAGGGATTCATATTCTTGGTTCTTTCGGTAAAGTTACGTAGAAGGGAAATATTAAAATAAGAAAAATATAAAACAATTAAATTATCACGTTTCGACTGCAACAAAAGCAATCATCAGGTGTGAAAACCACAGAATTGAATTGTTTTATATTTGTATTATTTTATTGTTTCCCTTCTACGTGACTTTACAAAGAGAACCAAGAATATAAGGTGAGGCTTGTCAACAGCGTGGTGGTGTTCACTCTAGACGCGTAGCGGTGTTCACTCTAGACGTGTGGTGGTGTTCACTCTAGACGCGTGGAGGTGTTCACTCTAGACACGTGGTGGTGTTCACTCTAGACGCGTGGTGGTGTTCACTCTAGACGTGTGGCGGTGTTCACTCTAGACACGTGGCGGTGTTCACTCTAGACGTGTGGCGGTGTTCGCTCTAGACGCGTGGCGGTGTTGACTCTAGACGCGTGGCGGTGTTCACTCTAGACACGTGGCGGTGTTCACTCTAGACGCGTGGCGGTGTTCACTCTAGACGCGTGGAGGTGTTCACTCTAGACGTGGTGGTGTTCACTCTAGACGTGTGGCGGTGTTCACTCTAGACACGTGGTGGTGTTCACTCTAGACGCGTGGCGGTGTTGACTCTAGACGCGTGGCGGTGTTCACTCTAGACACGTGGCGGTGTTCACTCTAGACGCGTGGCGGTGTTCACTCTAGACGCGTGGAGGTGTTCACTCTAGACGCGTGGCGGTGTTCACTCTAGACGCGTGGCGGTGTTCACTCTAGACGTGTGGCGGTGTTCACTCTAGACACGTGGAGGTGTTCACTCTAGACGCGTGGCGGTGTTCACTCTAGACGCGTGGCGGTGTTCACTCTAGACGTGGTGGTGTTCACTCTAGACGCGTGGCGGTGTTCTCTCTAGACGCGTGGCGGTGTTCACTCTAGACGCGTGGCGGTGTTCACTCTAGACGCGTGGAGGTGTTCACTCTAGACGCGTGGCGGTGTTCACTCTAGACGCGTGGCGGTGTTCACTCTAGACGCGTGGCGGTGTTCACTCTAGACGCGTGGAGGTGTTCACTCTAGACGCGTGGCGGTGTTCACTCTAGACGCGTGGAGGTGTTCGCTCTAGACGCGTGGCGGTGTTCACTCTAGACGCGTGGCGGTGTTCACTCTAGACGCGTGGCGGTGTTCACTCTAGACGCGTGGCGGTGTTCACTCTAGACGCGTGGCGGTGTTCACTCTAGACGCGTGGCGGTGTTCACTCTAGACGCGTGGCGGTGTTCACTCTAGACGCGTGGAGGTGTTCACTCTAGACGCGTGGCGGTGTTCACTCTAGACGCGTGGCGGTGTTCGCTCTAGACGCGTGGCGGTGTTCACTCTAGACGCGTGGCGGTGTTCGCTCTAGACGCGTGGCGGTGTTCACTCTAGACGCGTGGCGGTGTTCACTAAATGTGGAGGGGAAAGCCGGGGGATGCGGAGGAAATCCACGCGACCACGGCGCGAGAGAGACACGCAAACTCCAAATATACAGCAGGCGTCGGGGTCCGGATCGAACCCACGACTTCCCGTATACCAGGTGAGGTAGTTAACATCTCACCATGGAGAGAGAGACACAAAGTTTTCATAGTTTAGTTTCATTTATTTGGTATAGCCCTGTGAGCCATTCGGCTCTTGAATCGGGTGCAACCGCAACAAACAAAAAAACAAAAACATGAACAAGAAAACACAAACTCCAAATATACAGCAGGCATCAGTGTCGGGATCGAACCCACGACTTCCTGTGTACCTACCACGTGAGGTAGTTAACATCTCACCACGGAGAGAGAGACGCACACAAACTCCAAATATACATCAGGCTCGGGATCGAACCCACGACTTACTGTATACCACGTGAGGTAGTTAACATCTCACCACGGAGAGAGACACACAGACTCCAAATATGCAGCAGGCATCAGTGTCGGGATCGAACCCACGACTTCCTGTATACCACGTGAGGTAGTTAACATCTCATCACGGAGAGAGAGACACACACAAACTTCAAATATACATCAGGCTCCGGATCGAACCCACGACTTACTGTATACCCAGTGAGGTAGTTAACAACTCACTACGGAGAGAGAGACACACAGACTCCAAATATACAGCAGGCATCAGGGTCGGGATCTAACCCACGACTTCCTGTATACCACGTGAGGTAGTTAACATCTCACCACGGAGAGAGACACACAAACTCCAAATATACAGCAGGTATCAGTGTCGGGATCGAACCCACGACTTCCTGTATACCACGTGAGGTAGTTAACATCTCACCACGGAGAGAGACACAAACTCCAAATATACAGCAGGCATCAGTGTCGGGATCGAGTGAGGAAGCATTGATACTGAGAAGGTGAAGGTGGCCAGGCATGGTTCTGGACACAACCACCACCTTTTTACCATGCCAGTGTGTGACAGTGTAAAGTTTGTATTTGCAGTAAAGCCTATTAACTCTTTACATTATGAGACCTCCTTTGCCAGTAACAAGATATAGTAATAGGTTTTTACCCTTTTAGCTGGCACAAAAACTGACACCTTTATACAAGGGATCATGTTTGCAATAACCACAACACAAGCAGTCAAAAATGCAAACAAAAAGAGACAACTCTGATAATGATATGCACTGTCCTTGAACTTGATTGGTCCACCCCCGAGACGGCTTTTCTTAGAGCCTAGTCTCCACTGGTGTTGGACCAGATGATGCCAAAAGGCGTTTTGGCGTCAAAAAGGTGTCAGTTTTTGTGCCAGCTAAAAGGGTAAAAACCTATTAACGCTATTGAACACGGAGGTTATATCAAAACAATCGTTTATTTTTGTTTTCCTCTGGAACTCTTTGTAAGAATGGAAACAGGAAGTTAACACAGCACACGTGCAGCTGAAGTTAGATCTGTTCATCCCAGCATTCAAGGAAATCTGAGCCTGGCTTCACACCTCTGAGTTGCGATTGAACATTAATTTATGCATTTCTGTATAACACAAATACAGTGGTACCTCGGTATACGACCGCTTTGGAATACGTCCAATTTGTTATACGTGGTGTTTTGACGAGAAAAAAATGTCTTTGGATACGACGTCTTGTTTGGGATACAACGCGCTTGCTAGAACTTGTATGGGTCAGGATGAGTCACCGCGTACAGTATACCCCGTTCACGACTGAAACAAGCGCAGCTCCTCAGTCAACAAGCCGCAACAGTATTATGTGGAATGACCAAACAATGTCACTTCAGGAACATTCTTAGAAGAAGGCAAAAACAAACTTCAATGGACAGGTTTTTAGTAAAACCGAAACCTGGGGAGCCTCAAACCAGGTCCAAGTCAAGAAAAAAGACGTAAAAGAGAGAGAAAAAACCCCAGAATTTCAGCTTCCTGAAGTTTTAATGGAAGGGGACTCTCCTTTCAAAAATAATATCTCCTCCCCTTCCTCACCACCAACCTCGTAGGCTATCAACTCCTCTCAGCACGGTAAAATGATGGTAAATGTTATTTTTATTTCAATTTATTTATGACTTTATGCATTTATTTTAATGTATGTATGCATTTTAGTAATAAGTAGTGTCTATATTATGTTATACAACCCCATTAATGTATAATATGCCAAATAAAATGTAATTTTGATTTAAAGCTTTCGTGACTGCAGTAATTCATATTCTTAGCTCTTTCGGTAAAGTCACGTTGAAGGGAAACAATAAAATATATATTTTATTATTGTGTTTCCCTTCAACGTTATTATTTTATTGTTTCCCTTCAACGTGACTTTTCCGAAAGAGCTAAGAATAAAAATGTAATTTATTATACAATACACTGGAACGGATTATTTCCTTTCTTTATTATGGGCAAAATTCGTTAGGTTTACGTCATTTTCGGTATAAGTCCTACCTTCTGGAACGAATTAACGACATATACCGAGGTACCACTGTAGTATTATTTTCAACACCCTTTGCTATGTGAGCTAAATTTAGCTCTTAGAAATATTCCTTTCGTAGCCAGATAGCCCAAATTGTGTGCTTGGAGTTTTGGGTTAACATTCATTTTGAAGATACTAGGGCTTTCCAGGCATATTTATGACCATTTTCCCTCTCATTGTGTGCCATAACAGCCCGTGTGATGAATTTGGGAAACTTTTTCACTACATCATGAATATATGAATACGTATAGATGTATAAGTCATGTATGACTGTGTATATATGCATTCCTCTGTGCCTCGATACTGACATGTAGATGGTGTGGATGTTCTCTTTTTTCTGTTTGCAGCTGTCGCTTCCTCTGGAATTGGTCTGATGGAGCAAAGGCACTTAGCTCAGCTTGGTACGACAAGGCAACAATGCGACCGGTGTGCATACAGCACGGATCATCCTGGACATTTTACACAGCACCAGAAAATTCACACAGGAGAGAAACTCTTCAAGTGCACTGTGTGCAACAAGGCATTTGCACGGGCATCACACCTTAGGAACCACCAGCGAACACACACGGGAGAGAAACCATTCAAGTGCACTGTGTGTGGGAAGGCATTTTCACAGTCATCTGCTCTTGAAAAACACCAGAGAACACACACAGGAGAGAAACCCTTCAAGTGCAGTGTGTGTGGGAAGGCATTTTTACGGTCATTTGTTCTTCAAAAACACCAGAGAACTCACACAGGAGAGAAACCCTTCAAGTGCACTCTGTGCGGGAAGGCGTTTGCAGATCCATCAAAACTTCAAGTACACAAGAGAACACATACGGGAGAGAAACCCTTCAGGTGCACTCTGTGCGGGCAGCTGTTTGCAGATTCATCAAATCTTCAAGTACACCAGAGAACACACACGGGAGAGAAACCCTTCAGGTGCACTCTGTGCGGGAAACCGTTTGCAGATCCATCAAATCTTCAAGTACACCAGAGAACACACACGGGAGAGAAACCCTTCAAGTGCACTCCGTGCGGGAAGGCTTTTGCACGGTCATCACATCTTCAAAGACACCAGAGAACACACACGGGAGAGAAACCCTTCAGATGCACTCCGTGCGGGAAGGCGTTTGCACAGCAACCACATCTTCAAGTACACCAGAGAACACTCAAGCATCAGAAGATCCACAAGGAATGGAGTCTGAAATCAGCTTGTGAAAGTCAAAGTGCCGCAATGAGCCCATCCCTCATTAAACAAGAACCGGAAGAAAATCCCAGCTCGGACGCTTATGAAGGTATCGAGGTGAAATATGAAGAGGTGAAGGTGAAATATGAAGAGGTGAAGGTGAAATATGAAGAGGTGAAGGTGAAATGTGAAGATGAAAATTCAACTCCAAAATCGGACCTTCATATCGATGGAGACATCGTGAAGCAGGAGGAGAATTCTGACTGCGAGGCAGAGCGAGGCAACTCCCAGCAGTTTGTGGAAGTGGAGGTGGAGGTGTAGGTGGACTTCTTAGACAATACAAAGTCAAATGGAGACCCGGTAGATGTGTAAGCTTGAGATGATGTCGCTCCAATAGATTCGCCTTTGTCACAGGCCTTTAATGAAAATAACGTGAAGTTGAACACTCAATTCCTAGGTTCATCCTGCAGCGTAAGAGCGGCCAGTCTTTGTGGACTTGTGGGTTGGGTAGATGTCCATCCAGGAGCGAGAGTCAATAATATTTGCATTTATATGGTGCTTGCTTAATTTTCTCAGCAATTCATAGTTTTATATCGTATCTTGTCTCAAACACTTGAAGAGCATCCCAATGTAGCAGCTGCCCTTGAATGGCACAAGGTGGCTCTGCAACAGCCTGCATGTGGACAAGAGCCTGTCAGTAGGGTGCGATGGTTGATGTGGCAATTCAGTTGTGGAGTTTGTAGGTAGGGTTTAGAATTGGCAAAAAATGTACCCAGATGCCAGCATGCAATGGCCTACTCGTTTTGAATGACACAATAGTTTGTTGTACATACACTGTTAAGCAGATGGTGCATTAAAAAAAATATATCAGCTTGTATATACGATGTAACATGATGCAGTAATTAAATTTTGTTAATATGCCTGTCAAGAATTTAGAATTAATACTTGTCTGATTGTGTGCTTACATGTAACATTTTGTCCATAAGAGTCAAACATTGAATAAGTGATGTTAGGACATAGTGCGTTTTTGGAAGTAACCTGTACAGATAACTCAGGTGAGACCTGTTGTTGTGATACAGGCCAAAGGGTATTTTTGTGTTTTCAGGAAGCATCTGCCTCTGGAGCAACTCATTGTCTTTGCAATAGGGAGCACACTCGGATCATTCACCAGTTACAAGGCATACCACTTAAAAGTTACACGTAGAGGAGATACATTCTCCACAACACGAATTATAATTTAGTATTACGTGTTTATGTAGATTTTGTCAAACTAAGACTAGAAATGCACCTTGCTGATTAACTTTTTGGATGTTCGTAACCATCGGTTGAAACAGCCCGACTGCTGTTGAGACGCTGTACACCAATAAGGGTCCACAGGTGGCTTGCACTCAATCAATGATGCACTCCCAGAAGGCTGTGCTAGTTATAGTTGGTGTAAAACATTCCTTTGTTTCGTGGAGAGACCGATAAATGAAAGAGGTGTCTGCTGATCTTTTTCGTATTTGTGTCCATCGATATCTCACGTTGCTTACCACGTGTTTATGTTAATATGCAAAGCGCCCTCGGGAGACGTCACCTCAAAGTCACGGGTGGGTGATGTCAGTGCCTCCCCCCTGTCTCTGGTTTGTGTCGTCACCTAGAGCAGAACTCGCCTCGTCCACGCGACATGACGACTGTGCACTGTCTTGGAATTATTTTGCAGTCATTAAATCTTGATATAAACCAAAGAACACACAGAAGAGGAGCCCATCAGGTGTTCTGCGTGTGGTAAGGCGTTTACAGGGTCATCAAATATTCACAACCTCCAGAGAATACATGTCAAACAAAACCTTCAAGTAAACTTCTGTAAGGCCTTTGAAGGGTTTTTCGTTAACGAAAACGCGTATATAAATCTACAAGGAGCACAGTTTGAAAGGGACGTGTGAGAGTTAGTGCCACAATGAGTCTATCTCGTAACAACAACCAGAATGCAATTCCAGCTTGCATACATGGCCAGGAGTGGAAGTGTCAAGCGAAGAAGTTGAGGTTTAAAGTGAAGATGAAGATTCTGCTCCAGGATGTGACCTCCATGTGTGTGTTCTCCGGTGGTTCTGAAGAGTTGTTGAATAAGAAAATGCCTTCCCGTCCACTGCACGTGAAGGGCTTCTCTCCTGTGTGTGTTCCTCTAGTGCCGCTACAAGTTCCCAGTGTTAGCTGTGCTGTATGAACACTGCTCGTCCTGCACCTTTTAGCACTGGGTTGTGTCGAGGGTTTCTCCTCCATGCGATGGATTCTGCAGATATACATATTACTCACAATATACACCCATTACAAAGACAAGGATTCCCTGTATAGCCATAAAATACTTTGGGCAAGTGTTGTTTGCAAGCATCTTTGGAGGCCTGCAAAGCGCACGAGGGGATGGGTGGCCAACATCACGTCCGGGCGCCTTTGTCTCCCAGGTGTCGATGGTTACACATCATACAAACTCCTAATTTCAGGTCGAGTCTACCTAGGGAAGGTATATCACTAGTGTTGGTCGTGAGTGGGACTTGAACTCGGTTCGATGGGGTTTGCAGCACAGCATGCTAACCCTAGGACTACCGCTCCCTACACACCAGCTTAGGATCATAATCACAAGTAACACGCCTATGTATTGTCTAGGAATGTTTTTTGTATAGGGTTTTTCTTGTTAATTTGGCATCAAATAAAGTGCTTATTTGCGTCAATTTTTGCTTATTTGTATTGTACCAGATAAGGCTCACCAAATATGTAGCAATTTTCGGGAGTTACCTGGCCAAAAATAACTCAACGAAGTGGCTTTTCACGTGGAAATTTATAACAGCCAAATACTTAAAACGCATGATTCTAAATTTGGAGGAAAAAAAACGGGAGGATCCACAGAAAATCAACGCGACCACGGGGAGAACATACAAACTCTAAAATACAGCATGCGTCAGGGTGGGGATCGAACCCACGACCTCCTCTATGCTAGGCGAGGGAATTAACGTCTCACCACCGTGGCACCCCGATTTACCCAGGATGCCTCACTCAGTCTCAATACATTTTCAGGAGGATCTTGCCACGTTTTCGCAGGAGGGGGTTATGTTGCGTGTACCCCCAATTAAGTAGTGGAATTTGCAGAAATATTTTCAGCATACTGATGTTTGGCCAATGGCATTGACATGGGGGGGGAGTTTACTCTGGGAGGAAACCAGAAAACCGTATGAGACTAGGCTCATACGGTTCTTGCTGTTTCTTGGGCTGTATGTCTCACTGGCTCAGCCACACGCCTCTCACAGCGCAGCGGCCAACGCTGCAGATGCTGCAGATCCTGTGGCCTGATCTTACATTTACATGCTAATTTCTCACGTTAACATCACTAACACAGCCTCAGACCTATATAACTTCTTGTCACGGCAGCTCTCTCGCTTACTTCAGCAGTGTTCTTGCTGTAGCTGTCTCACCTGATGAAGATTGATTGTGTTGCCATCGAAACGTCGCGATTCATTTTTTTAATTTTCTCTACCTACGTGACTTTACCGAAATAACAAAAAGAGTATAATTTTAGAATTTCTTAAATGTGGACCCTGATTGCGACACATGATGGACTCCTCTTGTGATGTCTCATATTCTTGGTTCTTTCGGTAAATCACGTAGAAGGGAAATAATAAAATAATAATACAAATTATCACGCTGTTTCGATTGCAACACAAGCACTCATCATCAGGTGTAAAAACTACAGCAAGAAATGTTTAGCTGAAGTGGGAGAGATACTGTGGCAAGGGGTTATATAGGTTAGAGAGGGGGGAGGAGCAAGGGAGGGGGGGAGTAGGAGGAGGGGAGCGTTGCGTGGAATGTGACTGGACGGGGGGGAAAGTGGGCGGGGCTAGAAAGGTGCAGAGAACCAATTGCACTGCAGCAGTGTACACACACACACAGTGTACACAGTTTGTGTGTACACACACGGTTTGTGTACACGCACACACAGTTTGTGTACACACACAGTTTGTGTACACACACACAGTTTGTGTACACACACAGTGTGTACACACACAGTGTATACCCATACGCAGTTTGTAAACCCACACGCAGTTTGTGTACACACACACAGTGTACACCCTACGCAGTTTGTAAACCCACACGCAGTTTGTGTACACACACACAGTGTACACCCATACGCAGTTTGTAAACCCACACGCAGTTTGTGTACACACACGCAGTTTGTACACACACAATGATGCCCACGTTGTTACTGAGCTCACACACCCAAGGGGTCTCTGTTCAAGAGAGGGAGCAATGGAAAATTAATCTAAATCAACTTAAACTCGAAACCCGCTGTGACGTCACCACTCAGCGTTATGTCATCGGCGTGAAACGCCAGGGGGCGGTGTCCTTCGCTAGTGACGTCATGTCACCAAAATATTCACCCCACCCCCGTCCACCGCGCTCTTGAGCATGACGTCACCTCTACTTGGTGACTGCCGACATCTGTTCCGGTACAATCCTTATTTGGGTAAAGCTACGCCCAATGACTGCAGATCATTAACATCCTCGACAAATGGACAAGATTCATTAGAATAATTTATTGTTTTATACTTTTATTCTTTTATTGTATCCCTTCTACGTGACTTTACCGAAAGAACCAAGAATATAATTTATTAAGTTACAGAGACTCATTGTGGGAGGGGAGTCTTGTTTCCCGGAAGTGACGTCATGTCACCTGCTGCCGCGTGACGTCGCGAGGTAACAGGAAGCTGAAATCCGAGGTGAGAAATTCGCATCGCGGTTGTGGTGGTGGTTGTTGTTGTTGTGGTGGTTGTTGTTGTGGTGGTTGTTGTTGTTGTGGTGGTTGTTGTTGTTGTTGTTTACCAAGGTAGAGCCTCCCTCTTTCTCTCGTAGGGATGGCAATTGAGTAGCAGCGAGCATGGGAATCGATGTCAGCGTGTAACTTTACAACGCGGGGCCTAGCCTCCTGCCCTCGCCTGATTGCATTTGCTTTAATTATCATGCTTAATCTTCTTTGGTTCTTTCGGTAAAGTCACGTAGAATGAGAATAAAATAATAAATTGATAAAATAAAATAACACAATAATATTCTCACGACGTTTCGGCCACAACACAAGCGGCCTTCATCAGGTGAAGGGACGAGACTGTCTGGAGGACAGCGCTGGAGTGAAAAAGCCACGCTCAGATCGCGACCTTTAAGCTGTGTGAGAAGAAACAAAGCGCCTTGAAAAAGGAATTAGCATAAAATTTAGCATTGAAATGGCTGAGTGATTAGCTTGTGACTGGTCACAGAAATGGCTATGTTGAAGTCAAGGCCTACACATCTGAGCTATTCACAGTAGGCCTTGACTTCAACATAGCCATTTCTGTGACCAGTCACAAGCTAATCACTCAGTTATTTCAATGCTACATTCGCCTAGTTATTTCAATGCTAAATTCTCCTGTTTGATTTGTACTAGGTGCCTTTGTGAATTTGTATGCTTTGACTTTAACATAGCTATTTCTGTGACCAGTTACAAGCTAATCATTCAGCTATTTCAATGCTAAATTATATGCTAATTCCTTTGTCAAGGGGTGCCTCTGTGGATGTGTATGCTTTAACTTAGCTATTTCAATGCTCAATTCTATGCTAATTCTTTTGTCAAGGGGTGCCTCTGCGGATGTGTATGCTTTAACTTCAATATTGCCATTTCTGTGACCAGTCACAAGCTAATCTCTCATCCATTTCAATGCTAAATTCTATGCTAATTCCTTTGTCAAGGCGCTTTGTTTCTTCTCACAGCTTAAAGGTCGCGATCTAAGCGTGGCTTCTTCCACTCCAGCGCTGTCCTCCAGACAGTCTCGTCCCTTCACCTGATGAAGGCCGCTTGTGTTGTGGCCGAAACGTGAGAATATTATTGTGTTATTTTATTTTATCAAATTATTTTATTCTCATTCTACGTGACTTTACCGAAAGAACCAAAGAAGATGAATCCTTGCAGTCACGAAAGATTTAAATCGAAATTTATCATGCTTAAGTTTTAATTTGTCTTCACCCGGCTCGCTACTTTGTGACTTTGTTTTCCTTTAAATATTCACGCGGTTTTTTTATATTTTACCAGGCCAAGCCCGCTTGAGCTGCTATACCGCTCTTGTTTCACAGAAGCGACCTGCCCACAACAAGGTGAGGCATTTGATTTAAAGCTTTCGTGTCTGCAGGGATTCCTATTCTTGGTTCTTTCGGTAAAGTCACGCAGAAGGGAAATATTAAAATAATAAAAATATAAAACAATTAAATTATCACGTTTCGACTGCAACAAAAGCAATCAGGTGTGAAAACCACAGAATTTTATTGTTTTATATTTTTATTATTTTATTGTTTCCCTTCTACGTGACTTTACCGAAAGAACCAAGAATATAAGTTGAGGCTTGTCAACAGCGTGGCGGTGTTCACTCTAGACGCGTGGCGGTGTTCACTCTAGACGCGTGGCGGTGTTCACTCTAGACGCGTGGTGTTCACTCTAGACGCGTGGTGGTGTTCACTGTAGACGCGTGGCGGTGTTCACTCTAAATGTGGAGGGGAAAGCCGGGGGATCCGGAGGAAAATCCACGCGACCACGGGGCGAGAGAGACACGCAAACTCCAAATATACAGCAGGCGTCAGGGTCGGGATCGAACCCACGACTTCCTGTATACCAGGTGAGGTAGTTGACATCTCACCATGGAGAGAGAGACACATAGTTTTCATAGTTTAGTTTCATTTATTTGGTATAGCCCTGTGAGCCATTCGGCTCTTGAATCGGGTGCAACCGCAACAAACAAAAAAACAAAAACATGAACAAGAAAACACAAACTCCAAATATACAGCAGGCATCAGTGTCGGGATTGAACCCACGACTTCCTGTGTACCTACCACGTGAGGTAGTTAACATCTCACCACGGAGAGAGAGACGCACACAAACTCCAAATATACATCAGGCTCGGGATCGAACCCACGACTTACTGTATACCACGTGAGGTAGTTAACATCTCACCACGGAGAGACACACAAACTCCAAAGATACATCAGGCTCGGGATTGAACCCACGACTTACTGTATACCATGTGAGGTAGTTAACATCTCACCACGGAGAGAGACACACAAACTCCAAATATACAGCAGGCATCAGTGTCGGGATCTAACCCACGACTTCCTGTATACCACGTGAGGTAGTTAACATCTCACCACGGAGAGAGACACAAACTCCAAATATACAGCAGGCATCTGTGTCGGGATCGAGTGAGGAAGCATTAATACTGAGAAGGTGAAGGTGGTCAGGCATGGTTCTGGACACAACCACCACCTTTTTACCATGCCAGTGTGTGACAGTGTAAAGTTTGTATTTGCAGTAAAGACTATTAACTCTTTACATTATGAGACCTCCTTTGCCAGTAACAAGATATAGTAATAGGTTTTTACCCGTTTAGCTGGCACAAAAACTGACACCTTTATACAAGGGATCATGTTTGCAATAACCACAACACAAGCAGTCAAAAATGCAAACAAAAAGAGACAACTCTGATAATGATATGCACTGTCCTTGAATTTGATTGGTCCACACCCGAGACGGCTTTTCTTAGAGCCTAGTCTCCATTGGTGTTGGACCAGATTATGCCAAAAGGCGTTTTGGCGTCAAAAAGGTGTCAGTTTTTGTGCCAGCTAAAAGGGTAAAAACCTATTAACGCTATTGAACACGGAGGTTATATCAAAACAATCGTTTATTTTTGTTTTCCTCTGGAACTCTTTGTAAGAATGGAAACAGGAAGTTAACAGCACACGTGCAGCTGAAGTTAGATCTGTTCATCCCAGCATTCAAGGAAATCTGAGCCTGGCTTCACACCTCTGAGTTGCGATTGAACATTAACTTATGCATTTCTGTATAACACAAATACAGTGGTTACCTCGGTATACGACCGCTTTGGAATACGTCCAATTTGTTATACGTGGTGTTTTGACGAGAAAAAAATGTCTTTGGATACGACGTCTTGTTTGGGATACAACGCGCTTGCTAGAACTTGTATGGGTCAGGATGAGTCACCGCGTACAGTATACCCCGTTCACGACTGAAACAAGCGCAGCTCCTCAGTCAACAAGCCGCAACAGTATTATGTGGAATGACCAAACAATGTCACTTCAGGAACATTGTTAGAAGAAGGCAAAAACAAACTTCAATGGACAGGTTTTTAGTAAAACCGAAACCTGGGGAGCCTCAACCAGGTCCAAGTCAAGAAAAAAGATGTAAAAGAGAGAGAAAAAACCCCAGAATTTCAGCTTCCTGAAGTTTTAATGGAAGGGGACTCTCCTTTCAAAAATAATATCTCCTCCCCTTCCTCACCACCATCCTCGTAGGCTATCAACTCCTCTCAGCACGGTAAAATGATGGTAAATGTTATTTTTATTTCAATTTATTTATGATTTTATGCATTTATTTTAATGTATGTATGCATTTTAGTAATAAGTAGTGTCTATATTATGTTATACAACCCCATTAATGTATAATATGCCAAATAAAATGTAATTTTGATTTAAAGCTTTTCGTGACTGCAGTAATTCATATTCTTAGCTCTTTCGGTAAAGTCACGTTGAAGGGAAACAATAAAATAATAAAATATATATTTCATTATTGTGTTTCCCTTCAACGTTATTATTTTATTGTTTCCCTTCAACGTGACTTTACCGAAAGAGCTAAGAATAAAAATGTAATTTATTATACAGTACACTGGAACGGATTATTTCCTTTATTATGGGCAAAATTCGTTTGGTTAACGTCATTTTCGGTATAAGTCCTACCTTCTGGAACGAATTAACGACATATACCGAGGTACCACTGTAGTATTATTTTCAACACCCTTTGCTATGTGAGCTAAATTTAGCTCTTATAAATATTCCTTTCGTAGTCAGACAGCCCAAATATTGTGCTTGGAGTTTTGGGTTAACATTAATTTTGAAGATACTAGGGCTTTCCAGGCATATTTATGACCATTTGCCCTCTCATTGTGTGCCATAACAGCCCGTGTGATGAATTTGGGAAACTTTTTCACTACATCATGAATATATGAATAAGTATAGATGTATAAGTCATGTGTGACTGTGTATATATGCATTCCTCTGTGCCTCGATACTGACATGTAGATGGTGTGGATGTTCTCTTTTTTCTGTTTGCAGCTGTCGCTTCCTCTGGAATTGGTCTGATGGAGCAAAGGCACTTAGCTCAGCTCAGTACGACAATGCAACAATGCGACTGGTGTGCATACAGCACGGATCATCCTGGACATTTTACACAGCACCAGAGAATTCACACAGGAGAGAAACTCTTCAAGTGCACTGTGTGCAACAAGGCATTTGCACGGGCATCACACCTTAGGAACCACCAGAGAACACACACGGGAGAGAAACCATTCAAGTGCACTGTGTGTGGGAAGACATTTTCACAGTCATCTGCTCTTGAAAAACACCAGAGAACACACACAGGAGAGAAACCCTTCAAGTGCAGTGTGTGTGGGAAGGCATTTTTACGGTCATTTGTTCTTCAAAAACACCAGAGAACTCACACAGGAGAGAAACCCTTCAAGTGCACTCTGTGCGGGGAAGGCGTTTGCAGATCCATCAAAACTTCAAGTACACCAGAGAACACACACGGGTGAGAAACCCTTCATGTGTACTCTGTGCGGGCAGCTGTTTGCAGATTCATCAAATCTTCAAGTACACCAGAGAACACACACGGGAGAGAAACCCTTCAGGTGCACTCTGTGCGGGAAGCCGTTTGCAGATCCATCAAATCTTCAAGTACACCAGAGAACACACACGGGAGAGAAACCCTTCAGGTGCACTCCGTGCGGGAAGGCTTTTGCACGGTCATCACATCTTCAAAGACACCAGAGAACACACACGGGAGAGAAACCCTTCAGATGCACTCCGTGCGGGAAGGCGTTTGCACAACAACCACATCTTCAAGTACACCAGAGAACACTCAAGCATCAGAAGATCCACAAGGAATGGAGTCTGAAATCAGCTTGTGAAAGTCAAAGTGCTGCAATGAGCCCATCCCTCATTAAACAAGAACCGGAAGAAAATCCCAGCTTGGACGCTTTTGAAGGTATCGAGGTGAAATATGAAGAGGTGAGGGTGAAATATGAAGAAGTGATGGTGAAGAGCGAAGAATTGAAGGTAAAATGTGAAGATGAAGATTCAACTCTAAAATCGGACCTTCATATCGATGGTGGCAACGTGAAGCAGGAGCAGAATTCTGACTGTGAGGCAGAGCGAGGCAACTCCCAGCAGTTTGTGGAAGTGGAGGTGTGGGTGGACTTCTTAGACAATACAAAGTCAAATGGAGGCCCGGTAGATGTGTAAGCTTGAGACAATGTCGCTCCTATAGATTCACCTTTGTCACAGGCCTTTAATGAAAATAGGGGGTGATGTTTGATGTGGTATCTCAGTTGTGGAGTTTGTAGGTAAGGTTTGTAATTTGCTAAATTTTTATCCAGACGCCAGCATGCAATGGCCTACTCATTTTGAATGACACAATAGTTTGTTGGACATACTGTTAAGCAGATGGTGCATTTAAAAAAAATCGGCTTGTATAATTGATGTAACGATGCAGTAATTCAATTTGTTAACATGCCTGTGTTGTATATATAAGCCTTTTTCCAAAAAAGAATATTAAGAATAATTATGCCAATTTTTTATATAATTGATCGGGGCAAGCATGGGGCATGAAAGGGTGAGGCACACCCCACCCCTCACACCCAGCTGCCTTACCGCTTTCAAAGCAACTCAAGGGAGGAGGCCATAAAGAGCCATTAAATAAACTCCGGGGCAAAGGGAGGTTAACAACGATCTGCAAAATCTCCAGATTGTCAAAGGACCACATGCCATGACCTCCCTGGACATTTGGATAGCTCACAAACAAATATCCATAATCACTGGCACGGACACAGAGCAAAGGGCAAACGGATATTATAACTGATATATATTTTTTTATACGGGAAAAGTTTGAAGTTTGGCTATAAGAATAAGTCGACATTATAGACTGCAGTATTCCTTATTTCATTTCTTATTGTATCTTTCTATCTACGCGACTTTACCAAGAGAACCAAAGTACATGAGTTCCTGCAATCACGAAAGCTTAAGTCCAAACTAAGCTATATCTCTGACCTCGAGAATAAAAAGCACGGATCCCTGGATACAGACAGGGAGCAAAAGTGAATAAAACCCTTGAAATACTGGAGGTAACATCTAATGACATTACAAATCTTGGTTAAACATAAACCAAATAATAATCACAACAGATTAGACCTAGGGTAAATCAAAAGAGAAACAACAAAAATAGGTCAAACACACAAGACCAGATGATATGTATTCCATGAAATTAGAGCCTCCCTGGCCGCCTTTGTCTTCCAACAATTTGACACAACACATGGCTGCCATAAAATACGTGGAAGGGAGAGTGCCTCACTTTTAGCAGAGACCACAAAGAAAGGGGGGGTGGGCGGGGATGCAAACAAAGATAAAATGTGATGGTAAAACAAAGGTCAAAACGGGGGGGACAACCAGGCGGCTGCCACGGGAGGACGGTGACAAAGGGCGAGAGAGAAACGTGGAGAGAGGGGAGAGAATTTGAGATATAACCAACGACAGATCATGCGAGTTGAGTGCTACGACATCTCCAGGGGTACTGCAACGGGCAGACTCCGGGGCATGGCCTCGAGATCAACAATGGGTGTTGTGTCTCGCAGAGAAGAGGGGCGAGGTGATGCTCGGTGCCGAGTTCGGCCTGGACCGACAGAGTATCGCTGAAAGTTTTATTCTATATTTATCCTGATGTTTTGAATCGCTTGCAAAGTCAAGGATTGCGATAAGTTGTATTGTACTAAGCTATCAGAGTGGTGTAAGAGGTGTGCGAATACAATTTACAATTTTGAGAGAGTGACCCAGCCAGCGACAAGCAGCGCACAGCAAGAGCCCTCTTGGAAGGGCGGAGAGCACGGAAGTTGAGCAAAGCAAAGGCGAAGCCCTGAAGGAAGGGTGGGAGAGGCATTACGGAATGCCAGCGTGAAGCTGGCAGCTGCATGCCAAAGGAGAGAGACTGGAGCAGTGGAAAGAGCCTGACCAGCTGCCCGTGAGGAAGAGAAGAGCGCCGTGAGTTCGACCCACACTCACACCGACCAGCACAAGCTGGGAACCAAGACAAGAGTGAGGAACGGTGACCAGCGGGCGAGCTGCGGGCGCTATCTGAAGACGGAATCATCGCGCACTGCCGAGCGAGAGAGAGCGAGGAAGCTGTGTGTATGACCCTCCCCCACACGACGCATGGCCCTGCGTCTGCTTTACGCAAATAATTGAACAAGCGGCAAAGAAGACACAACACGCATATCTCGACAAATAAGATTGTTCAAAAAAGTTATTTGTGTTTCAAGAAGGGTTGCCATTCCAAGGTAGTGCGTTTAAATATCAGCTGATAGTGAAAAGCATTGCTGCCCGTCGAGTTACATGAAGATGATTGTTTAGAAGTATTTTACTCATTCGTTTTCGTTAATTGCATAATCTTGCCAATGAATTAATTGATAACTACTCTTGCTTTGGTACATGTTCCTTCATTACTGTTTGTATGAATATCGTCGCGTGAATTTTAAGGACTTTCTCCCATCACCATATATGCTCATGTCACTCTGAGGAATTAATCGATTGTCCTGTTATCCAGTTGAACAACGTAATCATTGAGGGTTAAATGTACGGATCAATGAGAACATCTCCAGGAGTACTGTGTTGACAATTCCAAGCATAAGAGATTGCATATTAGAGTGTTATGTTTTTGTTTAGAAATTAAAGTTGCTTAACGCAGAAGTGTCTGAGTGGTGCCTTCCTAAGTTCATGCGTAATAATCTGTATTATAAGAACTGTATCCTGCGATGAGATTTTTATTTGGAGACCTGACCTAAACACACTAAGACAAATGTTGCGGACCTCCGCAACTAAGCCGAGGGCGTGCGTTCGCTAACGCAGAGCGCACACCCAGGGTACGCCGCCGAGAAGGTCCAACGATATCTGGCTGGCACCTCGTGGTGGCAGCCAGACGTAAGCTGCACACGCCTCTAGTGGAGACAGTCCAGGCCGAGGTAAAAGGCTAAACGGGCGGGTGTCCCAATTAGAGCCAGAGTTTGGGCTGATGCATATCGGGAGGGGAAGAGGGAGCGGGCAGGGGGCCTCCTACGGAGCCGCCACCCTCCCCCGGGCATGCTTTGTGACCAACAGGGGCATCGTGTGAGAGACTGTCCCCAGATCGCCCGAGCGCCAAGGTTAAACACCAAGGCCTCCCTAGAAAGGGGACCACCGGGGGGTGCAATCGATGTGGTCCCAACAGAAATAAACTGTAATGATAATAGCGAGCGAGTGACCCCCATGCAACACCCAAGAACACGGTGACTTCGGGTGACTGGCTGCGGGAGCTGGTGGCAGGAATCACGGGGGCCACGTCGCTGGCGGAAGGGCAGGTGAACGGGCGGCATACACGGATTGTTGGACACGGGGGCGGTAGCCTCGCTCGTGAGCACGGCACACTGCAACGTGGTCGGGGTTGACGTGGACCGCCTACAGGCCCCGGACCGCACGCTGCACACTGCAAGCAGAGCAGGGATGGTCCTGCTGGGGAGGGTCACCCTGGAGGTCCGTCTCGGACACCAGGTGTGTACCCAGGAGTTCTACGTCTCGAGCCTGTTATGCCACGAGTGGATTGCAGATATCAACCTCCTGGGAAAGTTGGGGCTCAACGTGCAAGTCCCGCCAGCGATGCGCCACCGTGGAAGGCGGCGGGGAGCGGATTCCGTTCCTGGGACAAGAGCCGGGTCGCCCCCACGTTGAGCCCGTGGCCGCTATCCTGGCGTCGGCCGTCACCGTCGGCCCCCTCGCGGAGATGCTGGTGCCGGTGGCAACACCCTCCACCGACCCCGCACACCGACCATCGGGTGAAGTAATGCGGACTCCTCACCCGGAGTTGGCGGCATGGTACGGGGTGGTGGGGTCGTTCATGCTGGTAAACGCGGATGGGGGCCGACTTTATGCGGGTATTTAACCCCCACAGTACCCCAGCAGTGCTGCGACAGTGCACTGCGGTAGCCACAGTACACCCCTGCACGCACGCCACTAACAGCTCGGTGTTTGAGGACCCCTGCCGCTCCGAGGACAACCAGGACCTGGCCTGGCGAGTCGGCCTGACTCCCAGAGCCGAGGTCGTCCGCCTGCTTGACGCGCTACATGTACCCTGGGCAGATTTACCCAAGGGGGAGGCCGATCAGCTGCGCGGGTTATTACGGGAGTACGCCGACGTGTTCAGTGAGCACGATTCGGATGTGGGCCGGACAGACCTCGTTAAGCACCAAATTGACACGGGTGCCGCCCACCCCATTAAACTCCCCGCATACCGAGTGGGCGCACCTGAACGGGCTCAGATTAAAGAGGCTGTCACGGATATGCTCCGTGATAACATAATCCAGCCCTCAGCGAGCCCCTGGTCTGCCCTGGTCGTGCTGGTGACGAAGAAGGATGGGTCGACCTGGTTCTGTGTGGATTATCTAAAGCTGAATGCGGTTACCTTCGGCAACGCCTTCCCCATCCCCCGCATCGATGACACCTTTGACAGCCTAGCAGGGGCACGGTATTTTTCCACCCTCAACCTAGTGTCCGGGTACTGGCAGGTGGGGATGGCAGAGGAGTATCGGCCAAAGACCACATTTACCACCCCGATGGGACTGTTCCGAGTTCCGAGTACTCCCGTTCAGACTCACTAACGCGCCTGCGACATTCCAGCGGTTGATAGAGTTGGTAATGCGGGACTTGCAATGGGAAGTGCCTAATTTATCTGGATGACGTGATAGTGTTCAGGAGGTCCCTGTCCGAGCACTGGTCCAGGTTACGGGAGGTGTTCCAACGACTGCGAGCAGCCCATCTCAAGCTCAAGCCGCGTGTCATTGCACAGCGCGAGGTTGGGTACCTTTGACACTGCGTCAGCGAGGCAGGGGTGCACACTGACCCGGAAAAGGTATGCGCCATAGTGGAATGGCAACGGCTGAGGAACCTGACGGAGATCAGGTCATTTTTGGGGCTAGCCACTTATTGTCGTCGATTTGTGAAGCGATTCAGCGAGATTGCACACCCCCTCACCTCCCCTAAAAAACCCCTATCAGTGGATGGCGGCCTGCCAGACGGCCTTCACCACCCTCAAGGACCACCTCACCCATACCCCCCACCCTGGCTTTCCCTGACTTTTCCACCGATTTTATTTTGGACACCGACGCCTGCAGCAGTGGGCTGGGCGCGGTGTTGTCACAGGTGCAGGATGGGATGCAGCGGGTCATCGCATACGCCAGCCGGACTCTGAGCGGGGCCGAGCTGAATTATTGCGTGACCCGTCAGGAACTGTATGCCGTGATTTTAACGTGCAAGCAGTTCCGGCCGTATCTGTACGGCAAGAAATGTCGCGTGCGCACCGACCATTATGCTCCGCAGTTCCTCCTAACATTCAAGGAACCGCGGGGGCAGATGGCCTGGTGGCTGACGCAGCTGCAGGAGTACAACCTGCAGATCGAGTGCAGGGCTGGGCGGACGCACGCAAACGCGGACGCCTTGTCAAGGCGACCCGCGGTGTGCGCCGAGACGAGGGCGGCGGAGGCCTTCCCGTGCTTCACGGGGGGACGCTGCCGACAGGCAAACGCCCCCCCTAGAGCACCCTGAGACTCACCCCCCTCCGCTGAGAGAAAGTTCCGTGTGTGCCACGGAGGTCCCTGCAGAAGGAGCCAGGGAGCCAGGGAGCCAATGGACCGCCCGGCGGGCACGGGGCCCACACCCCGGGGCCCGACAGGCCGCTCAGCCCCACCGGGTCAGATCCAAGAGGACGTCGGCTGTGCGTTCCCGGGCCTGGATGACAAGCAGCTGAGACAGGCCCAGCGGCGGGACCCGGACCTGGCGGCGGTGGAGGCGCCTTCAACCATTGGTTACCGACATCCAGAAGTTAATCAGCAAAGAGCATTTCTAGTCCTAGTTTGACAAAATCTACGTCAACACGTAATACAAAATTATAATTCGTGTCGTAGAGAATGTATCTCCTCTACGTGTAACTTTTAAGTGGTATGCCTTGTAACCGATGAATGATCCGAGTGTGCTCCCTATTTCAAAGACAATGAGTTGCTCCAGAGGCAGACGCTTCCTGAAAACGCAAAAATACCCTTTGACTTGTATCACAAGAACAATGAGTCTCACCTGAGTTATCTGTACAGGTTACTTACAAAACACACACTTTGTCCTAACATCACTTAATCAATGTTTGACCCTTATAGACAAAATGTTACATGTACACACACAATCAAACAAGTATTCATTCTAAATTGACAGGCATATGAACAAAATTTAATTACTGCACTGAAATATACTGCATCAGGTTACATCGCATTAAGAAGCTATTTTAAAAAGATACGCACCGTCTACTCAAAATGAGTAGGCCATTGCATGCTGGCGTCTGGGTCAAAATTGAGCAAATTCTAAACATTAGCTACAAACTCCACAACTGAGATGCCACATCAACCATCGCCCCCTACTGACAGGCTCTTGTCCAAATGCAGGCCGGTGCAGGGCCACCACCTTGTGCCACACAGGGGCAGCTGCTACTTGGGGATGCTCTTCGAGTGTTTGAGAAGAGATACGACAGAACACTCTGAATTGCCAGAGGCGATTAAGCAAGCACCATATAAATTGAATTATTAGAACCTTGTGAATGCTTGGGAGCTTATTGGCTCTCGCTCCTGGTTAGAGATCTACCCAACCCACAGGTCCACAAAGACTGGCCGCTCTTACCCTGCAGGTTGAACCTAGGAATTGAGTGTTCAACTTCACATTCTTATCATTAAAGGCCTGTGACAAGGTGCATCTATTTGAGCGACATCGTCTCTGCCTTACACATCTACCGGGTCTCCATTTGACTTTGTATTGTCTCGGAGGAAGTCCACCCACACCTCCACTTCCACAAACTGCTGGGAGTTGCCTCGCTTTGCCTCACAGTCAGAATTCTCCTCCTGCTTCACGTTGCCTCCATCAATGTGAAAGTCCGATTTCGGAGTTGAATCTTCATCTTCACATTTTACCTTCACTTCTTTGCTCTTCACCATCACTTCTTCACATTTCACCTTCACCTCTTTATATTTCACCTCGATATCTTTAAAAGTGTTCAAGCTGGGATTTTCTTCCAGTTCTTGTTTCATGAGGGATGGGCTCATTGTGGCACTTTGACTTTCACAAGCTGATTTCAGACTCCACTCCTGGTGGATCTTCTGATGCTTTTGTTTTCTCTGGTGTGCATGAAGATTTGATGAAAGTGCAAACGCCTTCCCACACACACTGCACTTGAAGGGTTTCTCTCCTGTGTGTGTTCTCTGGTGTCTTTGAAGATGTGGTGAATGTGCAAACGCCTTCCCACACACACTGCACTTGAAGGGTTTCTCTCCCGTGTGTGTTCTCTGGTGTGTTACAAGAGTAGATAACTGTGCAAACGCCTTCCCACACACACTGCACTTGAAGGGTTTCTCTCCCGTGTGTGTTCTCTGGTGTTTTTTAAGAGTAGATGATTGTGCAAACGCCTTCCCACACACACTGCACTTGAAGGGTTTCTCTGCTGTGTGTGTTCTCTGGTGTATTTGAAGATGTGGTGAAAGTGCAAACGCCTTCCCACACACACTGCACTTGAAGGGCTTCTCTCCCGTGTGTGTTCTCTGGTGTACATGAAGATTTGGGGAAAATGCAAACGCCTTCCCACACACACTGCACTTGAAGGGTTTCTCTCCTGTGTGTGTTCTCTGGTGTGTTGCAAGAGTAGATAACTGTGTAAACGCCTTCCCACACACACTGCACTTGAAGGGTTTCTCTCCCGTGTGAGTTCTCCGGTGTGCTACAAGAGTAGATGAATGTGCAAACGCCTTCCCACACTCACTGCACTTGAAGGCTTTATCTCCCGTGTGTGTTCTCTGGTGTATTTGAAGATGTGGTGACTGTGCAAACGTCTTCCCACACAGACTGCACTTGAAGGGTTTATCTCCCGTGTGTGTTCTCTGGTGTACTTGAAGATGTGGTGAATGTGCAAACGCCTTCCCACACAAACTGCACTTGAAGGGTTTCTCTCCTGTGTGTGTTCTCTGGTGTCTTTGAAGATTTGGTGACTGTGCAAACGCCTTCCCACACACACTGCACTTGAAGGGTTTCTCTCCTGAGTGTGTTCTCTGGTGTGTTACAAGAGCAGATGAACGTGCAAACGCCTTCCCACACACACTGCACTTGAAGGGGTTCTCTCCTGTGTGAGTTCTCTGCTGCCATGTCAACTGTGCAGGACGATCTGTGCTGTATGCACGCCGGTCGCATTGTTGCCTTTTTGCACCGAGCCGCGCCGAGTGCCTTTGCTCCATCAGACAAATTCTGCAGAGGAAGCGACAGCTGCAGAAAGAAAACAAATTATATCCACACCATCTACACGTCAGTATCGATGCACAGAATAATGTATATACACAGTCACACGTGACTTATACGTCTATACTAATTCATATATTCATGTTATAGTGAAAAAGTGTCCCAAATTCATAACACGGGCTGTTATGGCACACAATGAGGGCGCAAATAGTTATAAACGTGCCTGGAAGCACTAGTATATTCAAAATGAATGTTAACCCAAAACTCCGAGCACACAATGTCGGCTGTCTGGCTTCAAAAATAACATTTATGAAAGCTAAATTCAGCTGACATAGCAAAGGGTGTTGAAAATAATACTATTTGTGTTATAAGGAGTTGTTAGTAAGTAAGGAGTTGTTAGTAAGTAATAAGTTGTTAGTAAGCAGTTGTAAGTAGGGAGTTGTTAGTAAGTAAGGACTTGTCCTATGCTTTTTATTCGACGCGTGTGAAAGGCATCGCACTCGCTGAAAGTGTTTGCCTTCAGGGAAGTCGTGTACTGTATACGCAACTGTGCACAATTCTGCAAGTCGCTTGTAACTGCTTTGCCGTTACTTATTGCCAATTATGGACTCGGACTGTTGTCCTCTCATAGAGTGCCTGGCACGTAATAATATGCCACATGGTGGCAGTGGGGGTCGCAAAATGCTGATTTATCTATATATATAAAAGGGAAATGTGTGGATGTGTGTCTGTTCGAAAGTGTTTAACATACTTCCCAAAATGCTACACACTTGAAATTTGGCATGTGGGTAGGTTCCACAATGTACAAAATGAAAAAAAGTATGACAATATACTTTTGTATTTTGTATGACCATGAAGTTTGTGGCGTCAACCGGCAACACACCTGAGTTAAGCGCTCTGTAATGCTTAGAGCTCTTAACAGCATGCCGGGATATTTTAGGTGGCGCTTCGCTCCTGGCCGATAAAGCCATTGGTTTCTCAGAGTTTCAATACATATCCGTGCGAAAAAACAGGTAGAACTGCTATCTTAAATATGAAGCACAACATTACATGTTTGTTTGTGTGAAGCAGCAAAACCTCTCCAACACTGAGCTCTGGCGTCATGAAAATTTCACAGCTTATGCTGTCTGGAATTTCTAAGTGAACGCGACTATTTTCAGCTCACCACGTCATTCCCTTCCCGAGTGGCCAAAATCGACCTTGCGTAGAAGTGGATTAAGGATAAATTTCCTTGAGTGAAAACATCCGATTTAGGTAACTTGATTTGTTTCGGATTTTTTCTTTCTTGCAAGCATCAACATTTTTAAGGGTTTTTCAGTGAAATATAAGGGAATATGAAATGTATCTAAGACAAGAATCCAAGTCCCGGGCGAAGCCGGGTAGTGAAGCAAGTTACTAATATACCCCAATGATCCTACCGAAATTAGGGATTTCGATCGGATCATTGTTGGGCACGTGCCACCCCACCCCCATTGGCTCCACCAGTCACACACTGGCATGGTTCACAGGTGGTGGTGTGTCCAGACCCATGCCTGGCCACCTTCACCTGCTCAGAATTCATGCTTCCTCACTCCACCAAGTAGAGTGAACATCACCACACATCTAGAGCGAACACCGCCACGCGTCTAGAGCGAACACCGCCACGCGTCTAGAGCGAACACCGCCACGCGTCTAGAGCGAACACCGCCACGCGTCTTAGAGCGAACACCGCCACGCGTCTAGAGCGAACACCGCCACACGTCTAGAGTGAACACAACCACGCGTCTAGAGTGAACACCGCCATGCGTCTAGAGTGAACACCGCCACGTGTCTAGAGTGAACACCGCCACGCGTCTAGAGCGAACACCGCCACGCGTCTAGAGCGAACACCGCCACGCGTCTAGAGCGAACACCGCCACGCGTCTAGACTGACCACCGCCACGCGTCTAGAGTGAACACCACCACGCTGTTGACAAGCCGCACCTTGTTGTTATTGTTGTCGCTTCTGAAAACAAGAGCGGTACAGCAGCTCAACGCCGGCGTGGCCTGGTAAAAAATGAAAAAAAAAACTGTGAATATTTAAAACAAAACAAAGTTACAAAGTAGCGAGCCAGGTGAAGAGAAATTTAAACTTAAGCAAGATACTCTTTGGTTCTTTCGGTAAAGTCACGTAGAAAAAAATAATAATCATAGTTTCAGTTTCATTCATTTGGTATAGCCCTGTGAGCCATTCGGCTCACAGGGCTATAACATGAACAAGAAAACATCTTGAAGTGACTACGTGACTGTGCAAACAGAAAATCCAGGGGAAAACAGCAAAATATTCCACAAAAAGCACCGTACACCATCGCTGTATGCAAATAGCATATGACGTTTCGATTGCAACACAAGCAATCATCATCAGGTACAAATAAAAGAGAAAACCTCGTAAACTTAGAAACCTAATGCAATACAACACAGAGAGTCAGCTAACGTAACAGTCAACACCCCACCTGGTTGATAACGTTCTTCCAAAGATTGTTCAATTTGAGAGAGACAAAACACAGACACGGAGACACATAGACAGAGAGAGATAACACAGAGACACACAGAGAGAGACACACAGAGAGAGACACACACATAGGCACACAAAGAAACAACGCCTCTGTGTCGAGGCCTTCAATAGAGAGAGAGGGGGGGGGAGATAAATTAGCAAGTCAATGCAAGGCCGTAGCCATGGAGTCAACATGGGGGGGGGGGGGCAAATCTTCCAGGGGGTCTGGGGTCCCCCCCCAGAAAAAAATGAAAATTTGAAAACTAATTTCATGCCATTTCCACCATAAAATATTTTAAAAATTCACTAACACATGGGATGGAATTTTTTTTATTTGATACAATGTCTAATATTGTATTGTATTACATTGCTCTGTTTTTTCTTTTTTACCTTTTCTTGTTTCAAAGTATGTAATGGCAGAGATTAGGGATTCATATAGTACAACGCAATCATATAAACAGAAATCTATGCCTTGTTATATGAAGACAAGTCCAGATTTTGTGGCCAAGGTTTAGCAAATTGTTATTATTAACAAAGCATCGCAATTAATATTTAAAAAAATATTTTTATATAAATATATTGGGGGGGACATTTTGAGCATATTTGATTATTGGGGAGGATGTGTGTCCCCCAATATATATTATAATTATTATAATATATTATAATTACGGCCTTGTGTCAATGAGAGATTTGGAGCTTTGGTGACTGCAGGAAAAATAATAACACGAGGATACAGAGAGAAAGCACACTTAATCAAACAAACTGAGTACAATTAGGAAATGTGATGCAATGCAACACAGAGAGTCGGTCAACACACATTAACGCATAGCCTGGGTGATTACTTTCTTACAAAAATTGCTCAACTAAGCAAGAGAATTGAAGCAAACGCGATCAGGCGAGGGCAGGAGGCAAGGCCCCGCGTGGCTAGGCCCCGCGCTGTAAAGTTCCAACCTGGACATCGTTTCCATGCTCGCTGCTACTCAATTGACATCCCTACGAGAGAGCGCGAGGCTCTACCTCGGTAAACAACAACCACCACAACAACCACCACCACAACCGCAATGAGAATTTCTCACCTCGGATTTCAGTACACGGGCAGAGCAGCAGCTTCCTGTTATCTCGCGACGTCACGCGGCAGCAGGAGGTGACATGACGTCACTTATGAGAAACGATAACACTCCCCTCCCGCAAAGAGCGGATCTGTAACGTGAATAAATTATGTTAATGAGCCCGTCCCAAACGTGGAGGGATGGGGCGTGGGTGCTGAACCCGTCGCAATAAACTCGCGACGGCTTTCACGAATACATTATGTTAATGACGGGCAGTCACCAGGCGTAGCTTTGCCCAAATAAGGATTGGCAGTGGAACAGAAATCGGCAGCGGCCGAACGGAGGTGACGTCACGCTCAAGAGAGCGGTGGTCGGGATTGGGCGACATGACGTCACTAGCGAGACCCACCGCCCCCTGGCGTTTAACGCCGATTGAGGTCACGCTGAGCGGTGACGCCAGAGAGCGGGGTCAGAGTGCAAGTTTGTTTACAGAGGGGGAGCGGCAGTGACGTAGTGAGCGCTGCGCTCCGCACCCGACCAGCCGAGTTCCATTCCCGCTCGTGGCCAACACCGCCAGTGACGATTTTCTGAACCGGTCCTGAGCCTCCCCTACGTCGACTCAGCCTCAAACGAGTACCCGGTGCGGTGTGTAAACATCGGCACTAGGGAGACAAAGGCGGCCGGGCGTGGTGCCGTCCCACCCTTAATAGGTGCTCGCTAACAGCACTTGCCCCTACAGTCTGTTAAGGCTACACGGGGGATCTTTGTCTTTGTGTTAGGTGTTCACTAACAGCACTTGCCCCTACATTCTGTCCAAGCTATAAGGGGGATCTTTGTTTTTGTGTTAGGTGCTACCAGCACTTGCCCCTACAGTCTGTCCACGCTATACGGGGGATCTTTGTCTTTGTGTGTTGGGAGCAAGTTTGAGTGGCGTGTAGCCGTGGGAGCTGAACGGGCACCTGTTGCTACTGACAGTCGTTGACTACGGTTGGACAGTCGCTGATGGACACACACAGACAGACAGGACAGGCGGACAGACACAGACAAGAGGAACACAGAGACAGAGAAAGATAGACAGAGACAGAGAGACACAGGCAGAGAGAGACACAGAGACACAGACGGACAGAGACACAGACGGACAGAGAGATGTTGAATCGAACACACTTAACTCGCTCCATTGAAAGAGATTCCTGAATCTTTGCCCATCCCCGGAAGTCGTTCTAGTTTCTATTTATTTCGTTGTGTGGTGTGTACGTGTAAGCAATGTGGGATATCGATGTACACAGCTATGAACAAGATCAGCAGACAAGACGTCTTTCATACTCTTTGGTTCTTTCGGTAAAGTCACGTAGGTAGGAAAAATAAATAAAAAATTAAATCACGACGTTTCAATCGCAACACGAGCGGTCGCCCTCAGGCGAAAACATCCAGACATAGATTATATGGCCTTCCAAAGATACACAAATAAGATACACAAAGAAGATACACCCCTCGTCCCATCGTCTCTACTATCAACTCCCCCACCTATAAACTGGCACGTTTTCTTGCTGATATACTGCGACCTTTCACTGGATAAACCACCTCTGCGGTACAAAATTCTACTCACCCGGTATCGACAATCAAAGGCATTTCCCTGTCCCCAGACGACCTGCTTGTCAGTTTTGATGTGGTGTCCTTGTTCACCAAAGTCCCGGTACCTGACACCATCGCTATCATTGAAGACCTGGTTCATCAAGGACTGCATACTAATGTACCCCCCCTGGTGAGACATTGCTTAACCAACACATACTTCACCTGGAATGGAACTTTCTACAAACAAACTGAGGGCACCCCAATGGGCTCCCCCCTATCTCCGGTTGTAGCCAACGTATTCATGGAAAATTTTGAAACTGACGCCATCCAGACTGCCACTCTACGCCCGACTTTATGGAAGAGGTACGTGGATGACACCTTTGTCATCCGGCCACATGGCCAGCCTGCTCTAGACCAATTCCGCGACCACATCAATTCCATACACCCAGCCATCAGATTTACCATGGAGGTCGAAAAAGATGGCAAACTACCCTTTTTGGATGTCTTAATTAAAAGGAGACATGATGGTTCAATGAGCCACTCTGTCTACAGGAAAGCTACCCATACAGATGCTTACTTGAAACCGGATTCCCACCACCATCCATCCCAGAAAAACTCCCTCATCAAGACTCTATACCATAGAGCCCAATGCATTTCCGACCAGGAACACATTACCAGTGAACTCAAGCACGTACACCAGGCTCTCAGGGCTAATGGTTACTCCGACTACACAATCCGCAAAGCCATCATTCCAGTCATGAAGAAGGATCCTCTTGTGGAGCCACTCAAAACCATCACCTTACCCTACATTGCAGGGGTCACTAAAAAGATCTCCCAAATCCTGAATAAACACAAGATCCAGGTCCGATTCAACACAGTACATAAAATCCGTGATCTAGTTCCATCTGTAAAAGATGCTGTTCCAGACATACACTACCCGGGCGTTTACAAACTAAAGTGCCTCTGTGGTAGTAGCTACATTGGAGAAACCAAACGACATATCTCGGACCGCATCCGCGAACATAAAGCAGACTTGAAACACGGTAGAATGAACTCCTCTGCAGTGGCAGATCACTGTTATAATTCAGTGGGCTCACATGACATTGACTTCTCCAAGACAGAGGTTCTTTGCAAACCAACCGGCTACCATGAGAGATTCGTTCATGAGGCCATTCACATATACAAGCACAGAGACAATTTCAACTGAGAAGATGGATTCTGGCTTAGTAACCATTGGAAAGATGTTTTAAACCATTTCCGTTCTTATTTAATTGTATTTTACGATGACCTTCAGACCGCAGCTCTTTCGCTGGCATTGACTCTTAATACCTCTCACACCACGGTTAATGGTATGGTTTACAACATGGAGTATAACAGCGCCTCGCAGCTGTCTCTCTCCCCCTCCTCTGTTCCGACCATGGATAAACTCGTCCATCTGAACGGGGCCCGTAGCTATCCGTGTTGCTAAAGTTGAGGGTAAGAATCCACCCATTTTTTCGCCATATAGCATTGTGATATATAACGATTTATTGTTGGTAGCTTAGCTGATTGGAGAATATATAGTTTATTGATAACATTGAGGTAATTTATATTTTAGTTTTTTATGGGTTCACTATATAGTATTCATTATATATTGTAGTGTATACCCAGTTACTGTGAATAGCTCAGATGTGTAGGCCTTGACTTCAACATAGCCATTTCTGTGAGCAGTCACAAGCTAATCACTCAGTTATTTCAATGCTAAATTCGCCTAGTTATTGCAATGCTAAATTCTCCTGTTTGATTTGTACTAGGTGCCTCTGTGAATGTGTATGCTCTGACTTTAACATAGCTATTTCTGTGACCAGTTACAAGCTAATCACTCAGCTATTTCAATGCTAAATTCTATGCTAATTCCTTTGTCAAGGGGTGCCTCTGCGGATGTGTATGCTTTAACTTTAACATAGCCATTTCTGTGACCAGTCACAAGCTAATCACTCAGCCATTTCAATGCTAAATTCTATGCTAATTCCTTTGTCAAGGCGCTTTGTTTCTTCTCACACAGCTTAAAGGTCGCGATCTGAGCGTGGCTTTTTCACTCCAGCGCTGTCCTCCAGACAGTCTCGTCCCTTCACCTGATGAAGGCCGCTTGTGTTGTGGCCGAAACGTCGTGAGAATATTATTGTGTTATTTTATTTCATCAATTTATTATTTTATTCTCATTCTACGTGACTTTACCGAAAGAACCAAAGAAGATTAATCCTTGCAGTCACGAAAGCTTTAAATCGAAATTCATCCAGACATTGTCACGGCAGAAGTCACGTGAGCTAAGGCACGTGACAAAAATAAGGTGCCCCCCCCCCGTGGCTCGCCCTGCTCAGCTGAGCATCGTTTTAATGCGGTGGGCTCGCACAAAATTAATTTCTGTAAGACGAAGGTACTTTGAAAACCCATTGGCTAAACTCCTTTATATAAGCGCACAACTTCATCTGTGATGAACGCTGCACTTTCCATCGTTTTCATGCAGGGGGCGCTGTAAACCTACGCACCCCCTGCATGAACGACGGAGGCGCAGGGACAGACGTTCAATCTGCAGACGGCGGTCTTCTCGCACGGCCAGCTCTGTGTCGCCTCATCTCGATCCCGTTATCCCAACCAGGTGAAAGTCCGCATCGAACCGAACCCCCGGCAAGGTCATCTACTTAACGACGAGAGAAAATTCACACGAAATATCGTTTTCAATGAAGTCTTCCAGATGTAAAATGAGATAACTTTTTAATGAAGAAATACAATTATCTAATTCGAAACATAATACAATTCAAATTTGTTTCATTTTCAAACTTCAAAACGGAGCATCGGAAGCTTGCGTGGAGGCGTCGTTCTTGTGAAATTTTTTTCGTGACTTTTCTGGCCCAAGGCCGTAAATGGTTGTGAGGGGCGCCGCAGGCGGTCAGGCTTGCTTCAACCCTTGGTTGTGAACATCCAGACGTTAGAGCATTTCTAGTCCTAGTTCGACAAAATCTACCGCAACACGTAATACAAAATTATAATGTGTTGTAGAGAATGTATCTCCTCTACGTGTAACTTTTGAGTGGTATGCCTTGTAATTGATGAATGATCCGAGTGTGCTCCCTATTTCAAAGACAATGAGTTGCTCCAGAGGCAGATGCTTCCTGAAAACACAAAAATACCCTTTGGCCTGTATCACAACAACAGGTCTAACCTGAGTTATCTGTACAGGTTACTTCCAAAACACACACTTTGTCCTAACATCACTTAATCAATGTTTGACCCTTATAGACAAAATGTTACATGTACGCACACAATCAGACAAGTATTCATTCTAAATTGACAGGCATATTAACAAAATTGAATTACTGCACTGAAATATACTGCATCAGGTTACATCGTACTAACAAGAAGCTATTTTAAAACATACACACCGTCTGCTTAACAGTGTATGTACAACATACTATTGCGCCATTCAAAACGAGTAGACCATTGCATGCTGGCGTCTGGGTCAAAAATTGATCAAATTCTAAACATTACCTACAAACTCCACAACTGAGATGCCACATCAACCATCGCCCCCTACTGACAGGCTCTTGTCCACATGCAGGCCGGTGCAGGGCCACCACCTTGTGCCACACAGGGGCAGCTGCTACTTGGGGATGCTCTTC